TGAGGACATAGTGTTATTTACTTTGTGCATGGCTCAGTGATATTTTCCAGATCACATTGCCTTTTAAAACAATTCCTTCATATGTAATGTTTCAGGAGTGTTAATTTTTTTTAATTAAAAAATTAATTTATGCATATAAGAACTGGGGTACAAGCCAAAAGTATGGGGGGTGAGAGGATTCACCAGAGACAGAGTGAGAAACAGAACAGGCAGATCTACTGAAATACAGTGCTGAGGGGAGCAGTGGGCGAGTCAGGTATGGTCAGGAGAGGTCTGGTGCACCATGCGGGTAGCTCCCTGGCCGGGGATCAAACTCGTGCTATAGTGACTGCAGATGGCTTCATAGGTTGCATCTTAACCCCTGCGCCACTAGGGAGGCCCAGAAATGTTAATTTTAATGGAATGCCTAAGGCTTATGAGTAAAATGCATTTTATTAAAAACGAAGGAAACTCTTACCAAAATGATATGAGGAATTCTCAATCAAGTAGAAATTTGAACACAAAATTTATCTCCTACTTAATGTCATTAATATTCAGACACTTTAGAATTTTTTTTTGCTCTTTTCCTTTCTTTCTGTCTGTATTTTAAAATATTAATACTGCTCCTTATTCTTAGATATTTATCTTGTTGGTTCATACTTACTCTCCATTCTTTGTATATCTGTATAACTTCTTGCATATTGAAGGACAACTAGTTGGGAAAAATATATTAAAAATACAACATTTCATAATCTTATTGGATGAATGAATAAATTCCAAAATATATTACAACATTGCTTTATATCATCCTTAAGTGGTGATACTTGATTCTATAAGTTTACTCCGTTAAATACTTACATTTTCTCAAGTATTTGCTTTCTCAGAACTTTGTTGCAATTTGTAAATGAAGCTGAATTTCTGAACACTTTAATTGTGGTTTTAAAAGAGGATTTGACAAGCCTAAAATGCTTATAGAAATTACTTATTGAGGGTTTACTATGGATCAAACACTACTTTAAACATTAACTTAATTGCCAATTTTACAAACATCAACCAAGGAACTAAAAAAGTACTTTATTGAAACAACTGTAGCTTTGATTCTTGGTTACCCATGGAATCCCAAAGTTGAAGAGGGTCATCCGTTTGTATCCTTTGCCTGGAAAACCATGGACAGATTGCCATATTTATCTGCAGAATTCGTTTTGCCAATTTAATACTGTATTCATAATAATTGACAGCAACAGTCCTCTGATTAAAGTTCAATATAAGCTCATTACAATATGAGGTGCCTTGATGTATTAACCTTTCAGGCAGAAAAATTTATAATTCATGTTGGGAGCAAAATCCAAGTTATACTTCCAGATACTTTCACAGAAAGCTCAGTCTAGTTTTTAACAAATTCTCTCAGACGGAGTTTCAGGTATAACTTGGGTGTTCTTGAAATAACTTTTCTGTCTACAGAGTTTATTTTTCTCTCATACCACTAGCCCACACTATTCACATTCTCTGTCAGTTCTGAAAGAAATACTTTCTTTGGTTTCAAAATGTTTGATTCATATTCGATTCTTTCTTGCCAATTACAATTTGTACATGACAGGAAATGTGACAAGCTGAATGTTTCCTTTCCAAATTTGAATGCCAAAGATCAAGTCCCCAATTTTTAGGCATCTGGAGATGGGTCCTTTAGGGATATAATGAAGGTTTAATGAGGTCACAAGGGTGGTGCTCTGATAGTGTCTTTTGAGGGAAGTGAGACCAGAGATCTTTATCCCTCTTCAGGCAAAGTTCTCATATCAGGACATGGTAAGAAGGTGGGAATGCACCTGCCTACAACCAGAAAAGAGGTCTCCCCAAAACCAACCCTGACTGCACTTTCATCTTGCACTCTCATCTCTAGAACTGTGAGCAAATAGCTATCTGTGGTTCAGCCTCCCAGTGTATGAAGGGATTCTGTGAAGGCAATGGGCCAGATTAGAGCAGGCCGGAGTGTGGTTAAAATGAAAGGAGGGGCCTCCCTGGTGGTGCAAGTGTTAAAGACAGAGCTATCAAGCTATCACCAGCCACTGCAGCATAGAGTTTGATCCTCAGCCGTGCAGGAAGCAACTCACCCACTGCTCCCCTCAGTAGTGTGTTTTGTGTTTCAGTCTGTTCTGCTCCCCACTCTGTCTCTGGTGACTCCTCTCCCCCTCCCCCCCCACCTCTGGCCTACACCCCAGCTCTTGTATGCATAAATAATTTTTTTTTTGAAAATGAACTGAGGTACCCTCTTCTGACAAAAACTAGGCATATCTGGAAGAGGGAAACTTCGCAGATTCAAAATCCTTGTAAAGTCACTCTTCCTAAGGGAATTCACAACAGTCATTTGCTGAAAGAATTTGCAAAGTCTCTAAAAAAAAAAAAAAGAAACTACAGACCTTCAATGGTCTGTCTTTAGAGCAAAGCACTATTTCTAGGTCATTGCCATTGTCATTTTCAGTTTAAGAGGCATAGGTACAGGTGTATCCTGGACGAATGTGATAATGAAGACTGATATCATGGGGAACTGCATAGTGATGGAGAAAAAATGTAGGCAGACAGAAGTGTGATTAGCACTTCACCTGCCCCTCGCCCCCCCCATGTCCTAAGAAGGTGGACTAAGCCATGTAAGGAGTTTCATGAGCTTTGCAAGAGGCTCAAACAATTGGTGTAATGTGCACTGTTATGTCTGCTGCCTTTCTCTCACCCGCTGAGTGAAATTCCTTAGAGTCAGTATCCCCAGGTCCAAAGAGGTGACTGTGTGACTCTCCTCCTCCTAAAAGGGGGTGAGCCAGTGAGCACCTTCTTATAGTCACAGGACTCATACTTCTGTTTTGTGTGGATCTGGAAGCCAAAGGTTATTTTTCAAAATTCTAATAATGAAATGATTCACTCAAGCAGTTAGCAACTCTTAAAAGCCCCTTCCAAAAAAATAAATCTGGAAACTAAATCTTATAGAACTGCTTATCAAAATATTTTTTCCTAGAGTCCCTTAAATGGAGTGTATAAGGTTAGGTTTCTACGCCAAAAAAAGTTTATAAACTTTGCAAGATTGGATATATTAACTGTTGCCATGTATGCCAGTGTTTTCTCTCATCTTTAGCCTTTAGACTGACTGGATTGGTGATTCCAAAGCCTTAAAGAATATAACATTCTTTATATATATATATATATATATATATATATATATATATATATATATATATAATATAAGCATTATATATATATAAGCATTTTGTTCAATCATATTTGCTTATTTACTAATAATTGTTTCGCTGTCTCTCAAGGTCATCTTCTTAACTGGCACCACCAAATTGCAATGGCTATGTTGTAGCAAAGTGAGATTTTTACAGTTCATATAAAATTGCAAGAATCTCTGGCAATGTTTTGTCTCATCCATGTTATTATTGCTTTGTATCAAAATGATTACATCTCCAGGGACTAATAATTATTTCTTCTGGCACTCCTCAGCCTGTAATTTTTAATTTAGTGATTTTTTTTGGGGGATGGTTACCCTTATATTCTGAGAAGCCATTTGTTAACCCACAGAATTTCTTTAGGATCATCATTTAAATAGTCATTGTATCATTTTCTCATATTCCTTACATGGCCTCGAATTAATTTAAACTTAGATTTTTTTTTCTTAGCTAAAAGAATGAATTCAGATGTACCACAACTCAAAATGATTGTCCAGATTGCTATAACAGATTACATCATGTTTGTTTACTTGGCTCAAAAGAAATGAAAAACGAATTGAATCCCAGCTGAATTTCCTAGACCACTTCAGGCACCAGTTGTTGTCTCTCGCCATCCGGTAGAAAGATATCTCCTTTTGTTATCATCCCTGAATTTGTTCTCTCAGATATATCTTAATAAAACTATACCTGTTGTCAAATTTACTTATCTTCTTTTAGTTTTTTGTTCTTCTGTTCTCAAGTTGGAAAATTACCTAGACCTTAGCTGGTGCATAGAATGTATAATATATATTATTTTCTGCCTACAGAGTCATCTTTCCTAAAAAATAGGAAGATAGTCTTAAGTGTATAATGAGAGAATTCCAGAAGACTACATTTTCCCCACCAATACATGAAAAATCTTTGCAAACTATAGATGTTAAAGTTGTACAAAACAGATAACTGGAATTCAGTACACATTGTATGCAACAAAAATTTTAAAGTCAGTCTTGAAAACACAAGATATTTTTTAGGGTATCAATCACCTAATTAAATATTTCTAATGAAAACAAGTAATTTTGTAGCAAACATTTTGTATTGCACTGAGAAGTCACCAAGTTACTTAAAATATTTTTGCTAAATTAAATTTTCAAGCTTCTAGAGAGTTATCTTTATGTTACTTTATAGAATCTTTCTTCTTTCAGAACTATTTATTTTCTTATGTACTTGTTAGTAGCAATGTCACCAGAAAATAATCAGTCCACTATCAGCAATCTGTATTTGTTTGTATTTATGCAGGCACAATATTTACTCCTAGTGAAGAGTATTTTATGTGATGACTTTTGAAGAATGAGCATTTTAATCTTACTTTCAGTTTATTTTAAATGTATCATGTAGGAACAATTCAGCTCACCAAAAGTATTTTAGCTAGTCAGAAGAAGTAAAATCTTTGGAAAATGTTTTTTTAGTATAATATGTTAGAGCCATTTTAATACATATTGAAGGACATTATACCAACTTAAGACCCTGAATGTGCTCAGGGTATCATTTGCTAAACAGACTCTCTATAAAATATGTTCTTTATGGATTCATTTGGTTATAAATTCAAAAGTATCTTGTGCTAAAATCATTAAATATATTGAGATGAATTTGAGGAACATGTAATAGCAACAGCTGTTCCACTGATATTTCTTTTATAGAAACACACTTATTCATAGCCATCAAACCTGACTTCCTGTTAGAGGAAAAGAAAAAGAGCAGAAGAATATGAAGGTTTTCATAATATCAAGTTTTGCTTATAGTGTAAGATGATAATAGAACGAACTTACCAGCTTATAATACAATTTTCATTTTATTTTAAACATATTTTGCATGATATAAAAATATTGAATCACAGTGAGCTTTACCAATTGTTATTGCTATAAAAATGAATGCAGAAACAATATTTTTAGTGGAAATAAATTATATAGTCATTATTTTTAAATCACAAGAGAAAAACCTCGGCTGTTTGGCCATTGGCAGAAAACCAGTCTTTAAAAAAGGTCTTTGCAGGTGAACTCCAGTCCATTTCTGTAAAGTTGTCCACAAACTTCTGGAAACATTGACTTTCATGTTTGTCCTCAGGGTCCTACAAAGGTCTCTCTGTTCACAAACAGTTCTGAGGTGGTGACACAGATTTCCATGATAGGAAAAGCTGGAACTACGAACTGGAGAACGGTCCAATCTTAGTTCATGTGTGGCCTTTTCCAATAGGAAGGGACACAGCGACACACCTCTTCACTGAATGAAAGTCCCTGCTCACAATGCTTGAGCCGATTAGTACACGGTCGTCTGTAACAACTGGGAAAACAAGGAGTCACACACTCGTTTAAAGATCAAGGTGATGAATTCTTCCTGCTATCATAAATTGCCTTTCGTGTTTGTCTCAATTCCAAACAAAAGCAAAATGACTCATTTTATCATCACATTGTTCTCAGCTTAGTACATTGTTGAAGTTTGTGCTCAGAATTAAAACATAAGAGGGATTGGAAAGCCTGAAATAATAACATCTTGCTTGCTGATATAACACATGGGAAAATGAGATGTTCTAGGCGCTAGTTCTTTTGAAGTGCCCTCTGTTTTGTGGATGAAAGTAACATAAACCAGAGATTATTTAGGGTCTGCCAATTGACTGTGACCCTGTGAGCATGGCAGAGCTGACAAGGGTCTGGGATTTGGATGGAACTCATATATCAGGGATGGGACACAGTCATTTTGGCAGAAGGGGGGTTTTGGGGGGCAGGGAGCACTCCCACCCAAGGTCTCCATGGCAACCATGATGGTGGCTCCCAACTTCTCCACCTGGGCTCCACGTGACCCCATGTGGCAGGATGAATTCACCATGGTGGGCCCTCTCCTCCCACTCTAGACTTCCAGTTTCCAGGAGTGGTGAAAGGACAAATGAGTCTATAACAGAGTAGTTCTATTGCTCCAACAAATCAGAAGTATCTCTGAATAACTGGAGTATAACTCTAGCTCACATGTGCGAATGGGAGTGATTATAAAGGGAAAAATCCAAAACAGCCTCACTTGAGCACACTACGGAAAAGTTACAGATGTGGTTTTGAAATTGTTTCTTTTGCAAAACGAAAAACACATTTAGTTAAATTGTTATTTCTTTTCATTGAAAATAATACATTATGACAAGACCACAGATATTATTAAGTAAAAGGAATAAATTATCAATGAAAGTTGCCAATTAAGGCAGTAGCCCAAAGAATACATACTCTGCCAATCACCTTTGGGAATTTAATATTTATTAAGAGAAAGTGTTATGAAAACAAAACAGTTCAGATTTTCAATATAGTGTAGGTTCATCCAGAAGATTATATAAAATTATCTTTAGTAAGATTTAGTAGTTCTATTCTGTAGTTTTGAAGCATCCTTTAGGTAATTACGTTTATGCAAATAAAATCAGAATATAGTTATTGTGCAAAATATTCAAAAGAGGAAAGAAAACAAAGGTTAACGAATGAGTCTTAAGAACCTTTAACAATATATTATTTCTCTAAATTCCACTAAATATTTAGTGTAAATATTTGCATTTCTAGAGACAAATCTATAGTGATGGTACTATCTTATCATATGTAAATTTTGCAGAAGAATGTTCTATGCATTGAATACTTGTCCTAAGTGGTATCTGATGGTATGTTTTTTGGTGAGGGTAGGTGTACATTGCATAGGCTTATCTTGACAATTCTCTACAGGTGTCTGGGCATTGCATCTGTCCTCCATTGGTACTACCTTAGCCTCCTACCTTAGCCTCTGGGACAAGGATTTCCAGTAGATTCTGAGCTTGATTCTAGTTTGATTCTCAGGACTCCTGACCTGCTTTTGGGAGAGCAAACCTAGTCTCATATAAGCTTAGAACTGGGTTACCAAGTATCAGAATTCATTTTCCAGGCCCACTGGTCTCTTGCTAACAAGCAATTGCCATTTTGGTGAAGAAAACTTCTTTGGACTGAGAAAAGTCTCTCCACTCAAAGAAATGAATACTATGTATGAAGAATTCTTACCTGCATGTTTGATGCTGGAACCTCTTTCCTTTTAAGAAGCATTTTTGGTGATTTTCTGTACATTCACAGGCACATTTTGCAGGGTTTAGGGGCTGATTTCTTGGACAGGTCCTTTTACATACGCACTGGCACGTCTTTTCATCAAACTCTCTGTGGGCCCCACATGAGTTGGGGAAAAGTTTGTTTTTACAGACACACTGGCATGAGTTTCTGTCTAGTTCTTTGTGGGGTCCACAGCTGGAAGGTCGGAGCCCCCCTTTGCAGACACATTGACAGGTCTCTTCATCCAGTTCCTTGTGGGGTCCACAGATGTCATGAGATTCATCTGGAGAATCTGGACAGATGCAATCAGAGCAAACTTAACTACATCAGACTCAATTCTGGGGTAGAATCAAATCAAGCATTTATTTATTTATTTATTTATTTATTTTAAAGATTTATTTTATTTATTTATGCATAGAAGAATTGGAGTAGACCAGAGATGTGGGAGGTGAAAGGATTCACCAGAGACAGAGTGGGGAGCAGAACAGGTGGGTCTACTGAAATACACTGCTGAGGAGAGCAGCGGGCAAGACAGGAGAGACAGGAGAGGTCTGCTCTCTTCTCCATGTGGGTCAGCTCCCTGGCTGGGGATCGAACTCATGCTGCAGTGGCTGGTGATAGTTTACAGCATGGAGACTTAACCTCTGTGCCACCAGAGAGGCCCACCACAAACATTTAAAAGTGACTTTTTATGTTTCTCATGAAAGGCGTGGGCACAAACATGGATAGGTACCTTTACAAATATAAGTTCTAAATGATGCCAACGATGAAGGAGAAAATGTTCCACTGTTTAGTCACTTACATGGTTTTAATATTAAATTATCAGTTACTGAAAACAGGGACACAAACAAGGCATTTAGTTGTCAAAGCATCATTCCGCTTACCATCTCCAGCATTTGAGGAAAAAATAAAATCTTGCTGAGCCAGGCATCTGCAGATGTGATTATTCCACATGTAATTTGTGGGGCAAGTCTTGTTTGCAGCCTGACACCTTCGGAAGAGATAGACCGGTTAAGTGACAGGAAAACTGGTACATAGAGGGGGGTCATCTCTTTCTTACATATAGATTACAAGGCCAATACGTGATTGCAGAGGAGTGTCAAGTAATGTCAGACTATATCAAATGAAATGTCAAATTTCCCTCCCCCATCCATAAGTGCTGTCAAATTCTAGTCTTAGAGTTGACCTGAAGTGGTACCATCTTATGTCACTATCAACCTTGACTTTTTCAAGCAAATACATCTATTGGTATAATCATATAGTGTTTTCAAGCACAAAGATTGTGCTTGCAATTCATGTTTTTTAAAAATAGATTATTGATTCTCAAAAGATACCTATGCCTATTTTTAGGGGAAATAAAACCCATTTCATATTGATATTTCCAAATCTAGTTTAACATTACTGAGATTTTAAACTTATTCCTTTTATTTCAAACTAATAACTACCATAAAAATCATGGTTTCTAACAAAATAATACTTATTTGCTTTATCTTACATATAGTGTATGCCATTTCTTAGTTTTATTTCTTGAAAATATGAAATGTGATTATCAGTTAAAATTACGAGAAAAATGTATATTCAGAGAAGTTCGTTCTGATCCATCTCCCCAGAATGTTGCTGCCTTTCTTAGCTTTTGGTTTATGTACTTAGTGTTTCTTTTTGCAATACATGTCTGTCTGCCGGTGTCTATACATGTATGTAATTTTTGTCATTGTGTTACCTAGAAGATGGCATCCCTTACATAATGTTCTAGACCTTATTTTTTCATTTTTAATTAACTTTTTGTTTTTTACATCATTGTTCATTTTTAAACAATATTTGCTTCCCCACCTCCTCAGGTGTAGTCCCCACAGAATTTCCTTCCCCAAGGCACCTGCGCACCATCACCTCAGTCCCCTGAGCTCCTCCCTCCCTCCAGCTGATCCCTTTCCCTCCTCCCCTGCAGGATGTCTCTGGTTTATAATTGTCTTAAACATTATTTTTTTTCCTCAACATTTCCTGGAGAACACTGTTAAATGTTAAAATGTGAAATCCTACAAGATACCAGTAAATTAAAAAAATATATATTTTAATACAGGAGATTTTCATAACTGCTAAGTGAAGGTCCCTGCTATAAAAGTGATTAGCAAGTTCTTAGCACTCTGAGCTTCGGAGCAATGGGAGGTAAAATTCCCAAAATATTGCTATTTTAGAATGAAAGGAAATACTGCCTTGGTGGGTAGAAGTGTCAGTACAATGTACTTATCTCCTACATATCTTAATCTCCAAAGTGTTTTATCTGATGAAATTTTCTCTTCAAGTTCTAAATATAAATGTGTGCAAAAACATATTAATATTTTATAAATAGGCCATTTTGTATGCTGTATTTGTAACACATATTGATTCATAGACATTTTGCCTACAAAGCAGATTATTTGTTATGTGGATCTGTGTTGAAACTCATATATAATTAACTTACTTTTTATTCTTACTTTCTTACCTTTTCTTTCCTGTCTATACTCACCCAAATACACCATCATCCTGCTTATAATTTGCATTAAGGCCTTGGATACTTTTCTAAGAATTATTTCATTCATTATTTTAAAACTTCATCGGACTTTGGTTGGGTAGTTATTGTTTTTCGCTAGTTTATATCAGAGGGAAACCATTCAAGGCATACGTCTTAGAAAACAACAGATTTAATAAGATCAATCTTATCTTCCATTATTTCTTCCTCATATTAAAAATGAAATTTTGATAGGTTTATATGTTCCATGTAATTTCTGTTAGATTAAATTCTATGTATTGGGTAATAATTAGTAGCTCTTTGAACATGGTAGGCTTTTTTCTCCATAACTTTTTTTATTCATGTCTTCTACTTTTTGGCACTGAAGTTTTCATATACTCAGAAATTCCCTGACTCCCCAAGTTCATATTTAAGGGAATAAGATGCTCTACTAACTTCTGTTCAGCATTAACTATAACTAAACTGAAATATCACTCTTTTTCAAAGAACTATAGTCTTAGTAAAATATTTCCACTGAAAAATTTCATTGCATCCTGAATTATATTAAGCTACTTAATAGGCTACGATACTAAATATCTCTTAAAATGTGTCATAGGTAATTAAAAAATGAATACTAGCATTAATTGAACACAAATTCAAAGTCTAGTATCCAATCTCTATTTTAAAAAGCAATTCTTTCTATGGACATAATTTGTACTATTGATCAATTAATCCCAACTTCAGCTCTTTTAATAAGGCTTCTTCTACTGACTCTGTGGCAAATAAAGTCCATAAATGGGATTCTGAAATTGCTACCTCAACTAATCTTATTAAGTGTAGAATGTGATCCAGTACATTGGTGAAAACATGTACTGAAAACTATCCCACTCTCCTTCAGAGTATCTTTATATCATTCCAAGGGACATCCAATAAGATACTCTGGATTCCATTAAGAAGACATTATGATTAACATCATTCAAACCTGTAATTAAACTATGGAAGAACACCAATCCACAGCCTTTTTGCTCACGATTGACATCTGAGTAGCAGCTGGAAGAGCAACTATATTCTTTTATTATCATAGTTAAAGAGTGCTGGGTATAATGTTTTAACAGTTTTATCCCAAATGTCTTTGAACTGCTATGTTTATTTTGAGTTCATCAGACAAGGCCCTTGGATACACGTAGCTATATCTACACAGATGCTGATTTTTCTCATATAATTGGGAGAATAATTAATATTGAATGGAAATTAAATAGCTAAAGTCAACTCATGTTTACATTCCATGTTATTAATCAGTTCCAGTGCTCTAGGTAGAAATCTGAATTATATTTGTTAATGTTCCATATATGTTGTCTAAAATAAAAGGAATATGTTTAACAGAAACATATTTAGTTAAAATGAATCTGCATAGGGGCCTCCCCTGGTGGAGCAGGCGGCTGAGCGCAGTGCTGTGAAGCTGTCTGCAGCACAGTGCTGTGAAGCTGTGCAGCCTCTGTAGCACAGGTTCGATCCCGGCCAGTCAGCAAGGGTCCCACATGGTGCAGTAGACCTCTCCTGTCTCGCCCGCTGCTCCCCTCAGCAGTGTATTTTGTCAGTCTGCCTGTTCTGTTCCCTGCTCTGTCTCTGGTGAATCCTCTCACCCTCCTGCGCCTCTGGTCTGTACCCCAGTTCTTGTAAATAAATAAAAATCTTTGAAAAAAAAAGTATCTGCGCACACTTCCCTTCTATTGATGTTTATTGACTTCACACTAATTCATGTTTATGTTTTCTGTTGGTGTTAGTATTTGCCTGTGTTTTATTTGTCTACTGACTGGAAGAACATTGGAGATGGGGTTTGTTAGGATATAAAAGGCATTCGGATGGATTAATGAAAATTTCACCGCTTTCACAATTTTTCAGACTTACTATTTAAAATGGCTAACACAAGTGTTGCGTTACTATAAATAAATGAGCTTATAAGTCTAATCTTTCACTTTTTGCGTGAATATAGATGATTGTTTTAGAGCAGAGACCTGCCACCTACAGGAGCTTTTTTTACCATCCGAGACTTGAATGTGAAACAGGAACCACACTGAGCTCTCTCTAGTCAAGGGCAGGTTTCTGGTTGCTGGTTGAGCAAAGGACGGCTCGTTTTGAGTTGGATGGTGACTAGAATTGGGGCAGGGGCACAGGAGAGCAGAAATAGTCTAGAAACTCGTGTCTCCTTTATTAATGTCTTTAGAATTGTTCAGATAAACAAGGTCGAGAGAAGTATGATCGGCTGAAACCCTGAAAATCTAGCTACAACTGTTTTACGTCTTGTCAATTTTTATTTTTATATCTATTTCAAACTAACAAAATTGAATAGAGAGTTGATAAAGGCAAGTCACCAGGACGAATGTCGTTCAAAACAGCTGCTGGTGTTATTAACAGAAAACAATGAAAACAATAATGAAAGGAAACTATGCCCAAGGCAGGAGAGTGCTGATATGACATAAAAATGGCTGGGTGATACCAGGGATAGGGGGTGCTGGGAGGGGTTGGGGGGAAGGCAGGGCTGAACAGGCAGAGCACAGGGGCTGTTTAGGCCAGTGAAACTATTTTGTCTGCTGCCATAACAGTGGATACTTGTCAATGTGCATTTGTCAGAATCCATGGGATGCACAACAGAATGAAGGACCAGAATGCAAACTGTGATGTTAGTTAATAAATATCAATGTTGGTTCATCCAACACTGGAACAAATGTACTACACTATGCAAGATGTTCATAACAGGAGAAACTAGAAGGAGTAGAGATAGTATACGGATACCCTCTTCCTCTCTGCTTTCTCTATAAACTCAAAACTGGTGAAAAACACAAAAGGTTTATTATGAATTTTTAGAAACTTACTGATAGAGTTAATCTAATATAGATATTTCTTTATTTTTTAATATGGGTGTTTTGTTAAAAACAATCATAAATATGTCTTGTTTGAACTTGACATTATGCTTCACAAAATCTTCACTAATAGCCCTCACCTCTAGGTAACATCAGACACAAATTCAGTGCAGATGAAGACTTGGCAGGACCTTCTGAGCCATAAACATTATGATGCAGTTTCTACCAGTTAATCTTTATGTGCTGTGCTTTCTATTATTACTTATCAAAAGGGAGAAACCAGAGTACAAAGGCAGGCACTTTATAGATAGTTATGCTGCAGAATTTAGAATCTCTTATCTGAATTCCATTGGTAAATTGATTCATGTCAATAGTGCTCATTTAACAGTGTTCTACCAAATTTAGATAGTGAGATTTGTAGCACAGAGGATGTAGAGACATGGGAATTAAATTTCAAAACTGTGTAAGAATACAAGTGTTTTGAACTTGCAAAGAGGCTATTTCCAGGCAATAAGGATGCATGCTTTAAAATGCTAGGGAAAAAATAGTTTCTGATCCACTAGTGTAAGACTATGTTCCAATTCAATCAGCATATATATTATGTGTGCATTTCTGTTCTAATATAGTCTGTTAAATGATCATCAT